AATGAGAGGATGCAGTAGGAGCAAGAAGAGATCCTCCCATCTTCTTGCTGTGTATACCCTTGGAGGCAGATGCATTGGTTGGCGCATAGCTGGGAGCCATCGTCCTTGGTGGTGGTGCTAGCAGCTAGAGATGCCAATGGCTGTGGCACATGAGTGAACAAAGTGTGATAATCACTTTAGTGCTGCAGACTTTAACATTGTAAAAGACCCTGTAGTGTTACTTTCTTTCCTTTGGTGTATCTGTTCTGGGGTAATGTCAGTACCCCTCATTTTCATTATTTTTCTTTTATTTAAAGAAGAACCTCCAGGATTCTGCCAATTACAAGGCCATGACAGGAGTAGACTCTGGAAATTCTAGTGATGAAGGTTCACAAAATCAGGGGGTCACTGGATGCCCTATGCAAAGAGAGATGCTGCCCGGAGCAGTACAGCAACTGGTATGAAATTGCCATTTAAATTCCTGTTAATCCTATGAAGTAAGGCTGTAGTAGAAGGTGGCACTGTGTTTGAAAACTACTTAGAATTTGAATTAATGACTCAACCATTGGTTTAAAAAATAATTAATAATACCACTTTGGTGTTTGATATGTTTTTCATATGTAGTTAACTTGGACTGTTTTGTGTCTAGAAGTGTTAGTGCAAATGGTTAATACCTGTCCTAGTGACCAGCTCAGATGTTGATTGTTTCTGCAGGATTCCGTGACTCCTGGCGTGGTGCTGGATTCCTGCGCTGCCGCTGAGCTGCGACTGGATTCGCTGTATCTTCGGTGTGTAGACAGCCAGAGAGATGATGTCTCAGATTTCCTTCCGAAGCAAGAGATACAGTCCTCTGACAGTCAGGCTGCTGCTTCTGATGCACAAGTACTACATGCAGCAAGAGGACCTTTTCTGGGGCATGATACCACTCCTGAAGTTATTCATAGTGCAAATGCACCTCAGGCAGATGCAACCGGATGCAAAGTTGGTCTTCCTGATACTTACCTGTCTCCAACTGCAGACAGCTGTGAGAACTTAAGTTTAGCTACAGCAGACAAAGGTAAGCTGCTTTAGATAGAACCCACCTGTGCAGTTGTGACCATACTCCATTGCATGGAAAAAGAAATAAAATTGTAAGCTATGCATTTTTCTTAATTTGTGTGAGCTGATAACAAAAAAACAAAGTAGCATGAATAAATTTGGGCTTGCTTTTGTTTTAAGAAACATTGACTGTTGTATATTGCACTTAACCGTTATTTGCTGATGAAACTAGTTTAAGCTTGCAGTTGCAGCAACTTGAGCTTTTTTTGTAATTGTTGCTGACTTCCTGCAAGTGAAATTAATCTAAATCTAAACTGAATCTAAAGTTCCTTTTTATTTTAATTCACAATCTAACCTTTGATATATCTTCCAGGTGATTTAGCACAGAGCATTGTCTACCAAAATGAAGAGGGCAAATGGGTGACTGATCTTGCATATTATACTTCATTTGATGAAGAACAAGATTTAAAACTGTCTGGAGATGATAAAATAAATGAGTTCATTACTGGATGTATGTAATATTTTTCCTTTTTAGTTAGCTACAACAGTGTCTGTAAGTGTGTTAAGTAAACTTTCTTCCTTTATTTTTTGACTTGAGCAAATCAGTATTTAGTGTTGCAAAGCTTCCAGGCTTTAGATACTGCAAATTATTTGAGAGCTGATGTTGATTGTAGCCTATAATGATACTATAATTATTTATACTTGATGGCTTCTTTCCATATTTCCTACTCATTCCATGAAGAGTGTTTAGAAACAGAGCAAAAGTCATTCTAGCATGTGCCACTGGTACCTATTGTATGAGCTGAAGTAACTCCTGTAACTGTCAAGTCCACAATTTTTCCTTTGGACTTTAATTATTGCTGTCCTTTCTCTAAAGAACAGGAAACAGGAGTAATTTTGTATTGCATGATGGTTATAAGATGGGAAATAATGGTAAACAAGAAATTACTACAAAATCAACTACAGACTGTGTGAAAAGAGCTATCAAATTCAGTAGCTGGTGATTCTCTTTTGTGAAGCCCTTAGGAATTTCTTGATGCTGAAGACCAGTCCTGGAACTGATAAATATTGGAGCTTATTGAGGGCCTTTATGGGACTCTCATGGTCTAATGGGTTCCAGGCTTTTTGAACCTCTGTTTACTTATGAAGTTGTTTATTTTCCCTAAACTGTCTCAGACTGATCTTTTTAAGAGTTTGTATGTTTGACATACAGGCTTGGATAATACGTTTTCAGTGCTGTAGACAAATCAACTCCTTAGCACCAAAATGTCATCTCTTTTACTAGACAGATTGCAGCAATGTGTGCAACAGCATTTCTTCTAGTCTCGTCTAGTTTCTAAAGCTGACTTAGGGATGGGCTGATGTATTCTGAAGATGTCCGTAGTCCACTCAAGGCTCTTACTACTTTCAAAGAGAATTGCTGTACATATTGCTGTTTAGAACTGTTTATTTTGAATGAGTGATCAAACAGGGTTCAATGGTTAGAATAAAGTTTTTCAGCACTGTAGTGTTTTTTTGCTGGTTCAAGTGAATATGATCCCGTTCGGGAGAAACTTCCCCATCTATTATGTCAGTAAAGTAGAGCTCTTCCATTATTTCTCAAATGCTGTTATATTTCAGACACTTTGCTCAATCTTAGGCTTGAGTTATTGAGTGATTAGAATACTTGGCTGTTGTTTTTCCAAGGCTGGTTAGCTTTTCCCACCTGTTGGGTTTTTAAAGCAGTTTTGCTTTGGAGATGATTGTCTTACCTCTTTGCATGGTAATGATAACACCCTTACGGATTCAAAGTGATTAGCATTTTTCTGGCTGCTAGTTTGCTTGTCTGTCTGCAATGCTCAAGTGTGGAGTTTGACAGCTGAAGGGATTTTATTTGTAGGGACAGAAAGGAAATGTTGCATCTGATGCTTCTGGGGCTCATTTATGACATGTTTCTCTGTCAACAAACTGCACATGGTGAATTCTTGTATAGAATAGTGCAAGATTGCTCACTTGACAGTGTTGGGTGCTTCAGAAAGTCTTCAGAGCTGTAAGGCTTATACAGAGAGTTCAGTAAGAACTGATACCGTTTTAGAGTTCAACTGGATGTAACAACGTGTCACTGATGGTGCCAGGTTACTTTTAGGGAATGCAGTTGGGTTGGTCAGTAAAGACATATTCCAATTTTATTTCTTTCCTCAGGATATGTATTGTGACTTCTTATAAGTAATTGTATGTACAACAGGTGTATTCACTTTACAAGTTTGTGTCCATTCTTGGCTTAGACCTCCATTTGCCCTGTCCCCACTCTAACTAAGGATGCTGTGTGTACCAGGCTGCATATTTGAGAGGTTTTGATGGGCTCAGTGATACATTAACATTGAAATAAGGTGGTAGAACAGTATTTCTTGGTCAGTTTCCCACAATTTTGGTGAAGAGGCTTGTGTTCATTGTTCTGTAGAGGGTAATTGTGGAAATAATGTAATCATTTGAATTCAAAAGTAAGATCGATTTATTTGGCCCTATTAATGTGCATAGGTTTTTCATGAACTGGTACAAAACAATCTGTTTACTTTGCTCCAATTCACAGGAACCACCTTGATGAAATGAATTTTCAAACCCAAATGTAGTAAAAGTTTGTTCTGGAGTAGCCATATGATGCTTGATTGTAGCTCGTATGGGTACTATATCCTGTGAAAAGTTACAGTTTAGTTTGGGATTAAGGCTGCAATAGACTTTGTTTATTTGCCACTAAGGTAGTTAGCTAAACACTGATTTTACTTTGTCTCCTAAAGATTCAGTGAATATTCCTTTAAAACTAATTTCATATAACTTTTCTCACCAAAATGGGATGGAATAGCTCTTAGTGTGTCCCAAACTGTGGCAGATCTAGAATCATATATGCAATAGCTGTACATCAAAATTTAGTTTAATGATAACAATAGTAATGACATTTAATAACTTTTGCCTTATGTTACTAAGTGTTCTCTTTGGTTTTAAGCTGAAGCAGCAGCTATGCTTGCACAAGACCAGGAAGAATTTGAGAAAGCACACAGACTTATACAGGTAACTAATTACCTCATTGTTAACTGAATAGTTCTCTGATTTATTTAGAAATTCTAACTTTTGAAATCTCTTTGTCTGCAGGCAGAAAAAGCAGACAGTCTAAATGCATCTGAGTTAGCAAATACCTCATGGAAACCTGCTAGTAGTATTCTGCTGAGAACGCCTGATCCTGACAAAGATGCCAGTTATTTACGTTTGTCTTTGGGGGAGTTCTTTGGTCAGAGATCTGAAGCTCTTGGCTGTCTGGGTGGAGGCAGTGATGTGAAACGGGTATGTATCTGAAGGTTTATATTGAGACACAAGGAAGGGACAGGAAGAACAGCAACTGGCACTGCTTTTGTTTTCTCACGTTGCAGCTAATTATCTCTGAGAACTGTGTTTCTAAGTTGACTTATGAAGGAAATTCTGTGTGTGACAGGTCTGGATTGGCTTTGGTTTCCCTCTTGGAATTTCTGATGTGGAGGGCTGGCTGGTGTTATTGACGAATGTTAATCTTCACCTTTTGGCTGGGAGCTAATTATGTGTAGGATTAGAGAGAAAAGTACACCAGGGTGTATACAAGGTGCAGAATGGAGGTCCAAGCAAATGATCCACGTAGTAGTTGAATGAAATGCTGCTCCCACAGGGGTGTTTAAACAGTGAGGGCATCTTTTGAATGGCTGTTGCTAGCTGATGTGCTATCTAGGCAAATGCTCAACTTCAGTAAGAATTTAGTAATCTAGAGTCTAACTTGTCAGCATCTGTATGCTGCTTGCATTTGTCTCTTTTTCTCATTTGCTGTTGGTAGACAATATCTCATCTGTGTTGCAGACAAAAAGAAAAAGGCAGGGAAGCATGCACAATGGGAGGAAGAAGTCAAATATGCTTGTATAACCCACTTGTGTCATGATGTGTTGCTGGAGTTGGCATGTTCTGTCCTGGTGCATTCAGAGGTTCAGTGGCAGAGCATATCTCCAGGTGGAGATGATGAGAGCATACATACTTTGTTTTGTCTAACAGATATAAGTAAGTTGTGTCCTAGTTTCAGTTGAGGTAGAGTTAGTTTTCTTCTTAGTGACTGGTACAGTGCTGTGTTTTGAATTTAGTATGAGAATAATGTTGATAGCACGCTGGTATTTTGGTTGTTGCTAAGTAGTGCTTACTCTAAATCAAGGACTTTACAGTTTCCCATGCTCTGCCAGTGAGCAGGTGCACAAGAAGCTTGTGGGGAGCATGGCCAGGACAGCTGATCTGAACTGGCCAAAGGGATATTCTGTACCATGGAACATCATGCTGAGTCTATAAACTGTGGGGAGCTGGCTGACAGCCACGAATCACTGTTTGGGAACACTGTGTGTTAGTCAGTGGATAGTAAACAGTTGTATTGTGCATCACTTGTTTCTCTTGGGTTGTATTCCCTCCTCTCTCCTTTTCATTACAATTATTGTTATAATTTGTATCTTGTGTCAATTATTAAACTGTTCTTACCTCAACTCGCGAGGTTTACCTTTTCTTTCCAGTTCTTTCGGTGGAGTGGCAGGAGCAGTAAGCAAACAGCTGTGTGGTTCTGAGTTGCCAGTTGAGGTTAAACTATGACAGTTGTTAGTTTATTTTATGTAGATATGAGAAGTGAACCTGTCTGGATTAGGCATTTGCAATGATAGGAGGCACATGTTACTTCTTAGTGGTATGGGAGCGAAACACCAATTGGGCAAGCACTGTGGCTGAAACTGCTTTGCAAGCCCACTGAACCTATTTGTTAATGGTTCAATTTACTCATGCTGTATTCTGGGGTATTTTTTTTTACAGCCATCTTTTGGTTACTATATTACATCTCCAGAGAAAAGGCAACCTGTTGCTTTGCTCACGCAGTCTGATTCGTCAGGAGGTGACACCGTTCAAGAGATTTCACAGTTGTCTGAGGTGTTCCAAGGTAATTACAGAACAGCTATTTTTTTTCTATAGAGCATTAGGGGAACATGTATATCCCAAGAATGCAGGTTTTTAGACAATTTCCTTACTGTAAATTTTTTTTTTGTTCTTAGAAGACCAAACAAAAAACCATGCAAATTCTACCAGCTCTGAAGGTTCAGGGCATGGGATGGATACTGCAGCTGAAATACATAAAAGCATTAGTACAGAAGCTGCTACAAAAAGTAAAGCAAAGGTATTTCTCTTGTATTTTTCTATTAAGTGCAACCACAAACTGAAACAAAGTTCAAATGACTCAAATTATGATTGTTTCTTTGCATGTGGCTAGATTTGGACTTTGGTATCAGCTCACTGCTTTTCTGATTGATCATTTGTATCCTAGCAGGTGCCACTGTTTGTCAGGGTAGTTCCATTAGAATGGCATGATCCTGTAGGTAGTCAGGTGTTACTGTCACCATCTCATTTTCCTTCTTCCAGCTTCACTTTTGAAGTTGCTTATTCTGTCAGCCCATAATTTTTCAGAGACTCATAGGCTATTGACATTCTGTGATCAAGTTTCTGAACTTCACCTATGTCTTCCCCTTTTGTTTTGTTTAATGAAACAACTTGTCTTTAGCATGAGAATAAAGTCTTTTAGCTGATAAAATTCAAGAACATTGACATGGTGGAAGTCTGAAAAAAGTATACTTTCAATCTCTTAATCCTTGAGACCTACCTCCCTGCCTGAACATGTATGTCACCTCCCTAAGCCTGCTGGCAATGCTTTGCCTAATACAGGCCAGGATGCTGTTGATCTTCTTTGCCACAAGGGCACGTTGCTGGCTCATGGTCAACTTCCTGTCTACCAGGACCCTTAAGTCTTTTTCTGCCAAGCTGCTTTCCAGCCGGTTGGTCCCCAGCCTGTTCGAGTCTGTGGGTTATCTTCCTCAGGTGCTGGTGTTGACATTTCCTTTTGGAACTTCTCAGCCCATTTTTCTGTCTGGTTGAGGTCCCTCTGCATGACAGCTGACTCTCCTGGTGTATCAGCCATACCCCTCAATTTTGTCTGGTGATGGAACTTGCTGAAGGTGCTCTCTGCTCCATTATCCACATCACTAATGAAGTTGTTGAACAGTACTGGCCCCTGTCTTGATCCTCAGGGTAGTACAGCAGTGAGTGAGTGGACTCCTGTTGGACTTTGTGCTGGTAATCACAACCCTCTGAGCCTAGCAGTTCAGCCAGTTTTCAGTCCAGTCATGGTCTGCTTATCTGCTCCATACTTTACCCATCTTTTTATGAGTATGTTGTGAAAATATGCAGCACGTGTGCAGGAGGACAGATGTTTCCAATCCTGTGTGTATCCAAGAGAAGTGGGAAGAGACTGTGGTCTTGACATGACTGTTTACCTGCACAGTGTCCTTTGCTAACAGTGGCCAATGTGAAAACAGGTGAAGAAATCAGACTTGAGTGATAGAGAAAGCTGTAGGAATTGCTTTGTCTTCCCTCTGTAGAGACGCAGATGATCTAGAGTTAATTGGGAAGATACTGTATTTGATCATGGTAGCTTCTTCTCTGCTCTTTGTTCCTGATGGGATTTTACTCCCAGTTCTTCCAACCGAATTAAAAGTTTTTAGGATTTTAGAAGTTTTACAGAAACTAAGACTTCCTAGCAGGCAATCTTTATTTAATCTTTAAAAAAACCACCTTTGTGGAGTAGGCTTAAAAGGTCAGCAGAATGAGAATTATGCCTATTGCACTGTTCCTTCTTGACAGGCGATTAAAAATGTGACAAATAAGGCAATATGTTAACATTTCTATCTGGCCATACAAAATAATTCAAACAGGAAAACAAAACACTGAACAAAAACTTACTTACTGTGGTGCTTAACTCATTTTGGTTTGTTGTAGGATGGAATTCATAAAGACAAGTTGGAGGATGGCTTACCTAATAACTCTGACTCTGTCCTGAGTATTAGTACCATTGCAACTGCTATTGCCAATGCTTCCACCAGTGCTGAACCTTCCCAGCTAGCTGCTATGATGATGGCACTGTCTAATAAAAGTAAAAGAACACATTTCCTTCCTGGAACTGCTGAAGAGGCAGAAATCTCTGCTAATCAGGTGTTATCCAGCAATGAGGAAAATAGTGCATTCAATATGGAAAAATACCTCAAAAAAACGGATGATAACGGACATGAAAGTGAATATGAGAGTATTTTGAAACACGATGCATCTGTCCAGAGCCTTATAACTGATACCTTTGTACTGGGTAAAGATAAAAGTAAGTACGCGCTTGCAGGAGACTTGAACAAGCACAGCAAACAGCAAGAACTAGAGAAGCGATTGCTGGATTATTTTAATGAAGAAAATGATAGTCAGAATTTTTCTAGGCTGTCTGGTGTTCCCAGTCATGAAGATGTAACTTCAGGTAGTGTTAAATATTCAGAAAAGTTGTCAGATTTAGTAAATAGGAAGCATTTGCAACCAATGGGTGCTGATGTTACATCCGATGCCCTCAATACCCAAACCTTATCTACTGGAAATGAAGCCCAGACATGTGGAATTCATTTAGCAGCAAAAATGGAACTGCCACATGCTTACCAGAACAACAATCTCACTAGTAGATGCTGTATCAGGGAAGATACAGAAACAGTGGATCAAGAAACAAGTGCTGTTCCTGAGCCATGTAATGATTTGGTAGAGATAAGTACAGGAAATAATCCTTCACTTGGCAACCTAAAGCATGCCAAGCAGTCCAGTAAATATGTCTCAGTAAGTCCTGCAAAAGCAAATCCTGTGCAGAACTTGAACAATAATGAAAGGAAGAAAAGTGAAAAAATAGAGAAGAGCCCCAAAGATGCCAGTACTGCTTGTGGTGGGAATGCAAAACATGTAACTTTCGAGAAGGTGCCCTCAGCTGTCCAGAATAGTACCGGTAAGTAAACCTATATAAATGTAACCGGTTGTTGAAAAGGCTTTTCTTGACAGCAGGCTTGTTCCCTGTGCTTAAATAAATACTGTTATTAAATTCTGTTTATTTATCAGACCATAAGCCTGAATGTGACTTGCAGCCTCTGGAGGATGAGCAATATAGCTTCAGACCTTCAACTTCACCTCTAATTCACTCCTCTCCTAGTGAGACTTCTGGAACAGCATTTTCAGGGTAAATTTCTTGATGCAGCTTGTAAGAATTATTAATACTTCATGGTGATGGTTGAGGGATTGAGTTCTGGTTTGAATGTTGTCCTTGATCTTAGTTTGCAGAAAATCTTTAATAGGCTAAGACTTCATTATTAGTCTAAGCTTTCTGTTTTCTTTTGTTGTTTGTGGGGAAGCAGTCTTGATTGTTAACTTTTTCATTTTTCTCACTGGCCTCTCACTCACCAGGTGCTGTGTAGGAACATTGCTGTTACTGCTCAGGATTGTATAGGAATATAAGAAGATTCATCCTTTTAGTGAGATATGCACAAATCTTTGTGCTGATGAAGCTATAAAATCCCATTTAAAATAATTGTTGTTCTAGTGTAATTCACCTATTATTCATAAAGCTATTTGTTTGGGGGTTATGCTGTTAATATTATTACAACAAAGCTCAACATTCTGTAGACCAATGAAGATGTGTTTTTAAGACTTACTCCCTCAGTTTGGTTCTCTGATTCATGCCACTGCTTGTTGTGAGAGAGAATGGGTAGAAATATTTGTATTGCTTTTGACCACTTCATATTTTGAAATTGCTGCTGGTGTCTAAGGTTTAAGATTTGCTTTGCAACTGGAAGGGCAATGCTTTTTAAATCAGCTCCCATAACAGTAAGTGTCATATGAACTATAAGATTACAACTAAATTAGTTGTGTAGTCTGAAACATATAAATATGGCCAGGAGGTAATTGCTATGTGCAGCCTCATAAAGAGAGGAGGCAACTGATTTCTTTGCCTGTTTGGTATTTAACTGCAGTTACTGTTTTGTACATGATATTAGAATTACAGGCTGTCTGGCATTTCTCAGAAGTGAATATGTGTAGGAGTATGATTTTTTTACAGGTGTGTTATATAGATATTAGGATTTCCAGTTAAAATTGTCAGTGACTTTAATGGTTTTCATGTTATTTTCTCTGGTAGGAAAAAGTGGCAGGAGATCCTGTGTTTTCTGGTGTGTGAAATGAAGAGAATCTTAACAGTGATTAGAAAATACTAATGCCTGGGATGTTGGATGATATAATTTTACTTCCTTTTATCTAAATTATACAAATGTATTGATTCAGCTCTTATTTTCCTTCTAATAAGTTGAGTTGTTTCTGTGACCTTAGCATCTTAGTTCAGTTATGAAACTCGGGTGCTTTTGCCTTATGGATTGATATGTAATGAAAATGAACTATGTATATCAAAGCCAGAACTTGTAAAGATTGACTGGGGCTGATTCCTCATTTCTACTGACTGTATTAAACAGAAAGGCTAAATAAGTTGACTTGTAGAATACTATAGCTAATGTGTAGTGTTGATTTTCTTAAGGGCAACAATGAAAATATATTCTAATACTGACATACTTTGCATCTGTGTTTCAGGTCTGAAAAGGACTTTACTTGCATATCAGGTTATCAGGAATCTCCTTGCAAAGAGAATACACTACCTCAGTCAAGTCCAAGCATGAGCAGATTAACTTATGTCTCTGCACCTGGCAGTACCCATAAGAACACACCAGCAATACGTAATCCAGAGCCATACTGGGTAAGAAAACCAAAGTAACACCTCCTCTTTACTCCCAAGCCTTTAAATGGTCAAAAGAAATCTAAATTAGTAAAGCTGCAAGGGTTTCAGAACAGTTTAGGACATGCTGTGCATAGGGAAAAGGTGTTCTGCTTCTCCCCAACCCTCTGAGTTTTTCAGAAATGTAAATTCTGAAATAGGTTGTGCTAAATGCAGAAATGTTACTGAATATAAACATAGAAAAAGATTCAAAGAACAACTAACTTCTGAAAGAGTTGGTGTATTTTTTCCTTGCATTCCCCCCCCTCCCCCCCCCCCCCCCCCCCCCCCAATAATTTCTTGTTAAGTCATTCTGTTCTTGGAATATAGTGCAGTATTCCAGTAGTGTTTTGCAGGATCTATATCTGCTCTCCTCACTCCTGAGGCTCTTTTTCTGTTCAGCTTCATCTGTTAGAAGAATACTTTTTCTGTTTTTTGCTTTTTTTTCCCCTGGACAAATGTTTATAGATACGTAGTTTAGCTTGTACTGCTTTTTTTTCAGGACTGAAACTATAATTTTCTACCTTTGCTGAAGTTTTACATTTGTGTTATGAGTACATTTATAAGTCCCATTTATAATACTGCAGTGTTAATTTATTCCTTTGGGTTAGTAATCTTTTGTGCTGAGAGAGAGAAACAGATATTTTCATCTCATTTGCACTCGTTAAGAGCCACTTTCATGCCCCTTGCCTGAAGCTGCCACAGACAAGAGGAATGTTTGTATTGGTGTTACCTTCAGATCTGAATTGTTACTGTAGTCCAATCTGTTTAATGGTGCCCTTTCCCTTTAACACTAGGGTCAGATTATCAAAGGGGCATGTTTTGTTAACTTAGGTTTTTTTTAATTATTACTTGGTTGATTTGGCCTGGTGAGCCATCTCACCTCAGGCAGCTGCCCTGAATGCCCTTTATAAAGATTGTAACTTGCAGCTTGTCTACAACAATCTGAACAGCTACTTCATTGTTTTTTTCCATTCTTTCACATGCCTTTCCC